TTAAATTCAAATCTGTAATTTTCTTACTTATAACTAAAACAATAAACATCAAATCACCCACCTCTAATCAGCACGCAATCAAAATCACTCACCACTGATCAGCACGCAATCAAAATCACTCACCACTGATCAGCACCCAATCAAAATCACTCACCACTGATCAGCACCCAATCCAAATCACTCACCTCTGATCAGCACCCAATCAAAATCACTCACCTCTGATCAGCACCCAATCAAAATCACTCACCTCTAATCAACACCCAATCCAAATCACCCACCCCTAATCAACACCCAATCCAGATCACTCACCCCTAATCAACACCCAATCTAAATCACCCACCTCTGATCAACACCCAATCCAAATCACCCACCTCTAATCAACACCCAATCCAAATCACTCACCTCTGATCAGCACGCAATCCAAATCACCCACCTCTAATCAGCACCCAATCCAAATCACTCACCCCTAATCAGCACCCAATCAAAATCACTCACCTCTGATCAGCACGCAATCCAGATCACTCGCCACCCCATACGTCACCCCGTTCATCTCCATCAATATATCGCACTCATCCAAATTCAGCACCGAACTCCCCTCCGCTACACACACTGTCTGTGTTTCGGTGCTCACCTCGTCACCGCCTTCTTCTGCAAATTATAACAACCATAAAATATATATTATAATAATAATACTAATAATAATACTAATAATAATACAATGATAATAATAATAATAATTTAAATAAAAAACTAAACAAATCAGAAATTACCGCGCTCAACGGATGAATTTGCATTACTCTCTGCTGCTTTCTCGATTTCGGCGACACTGAATCCATTCACATCGTCATTTTACCACACAAATTGTCAATAATAATAACTATTATAACAGTATTTAATAATAATAATAATAATAATAATAATAACAATAATAATAATATTAAACAATAATAATAACAAACAATAACAATACCGCTGCAAAATTCCAGCCATTTCACCGAAATTCAATGCCACATCAATCAGACGCGTGAAACTGTTCACTAACATTATGTAGAAGAATGCATTCTGAAATGCGTATTCTCATTATTATTATTATTATTATTATTGTTATTATTTATTATTATTAATTATTATCATTAATTATTATTAATTATTATTATATTATTATAATAATTACTATTATTAATATTACTATAATTATCAGAACATAACATAAATATACACTCACATTACTAATGATTTTGCCCAATTCATCGGGTTTCTTGTCATCGTAAGAGTGCAATATGAATATTGGTATGTACTGAATTGAATACGTTAATATGGCACCGTAATAGTCGAATAGTTGTTGCCAAACTGAAAACAGTTATTATTATTATTGTTATTATTATTATTATATTATTATTATTATCATTATTATTATATTATTATTATTGTTGTTATTATTATTGTTATTATTATTATTATTAATCATTATTTATTATCACTAATATTAATATTATTATTACTATGTTTACTATTATTGCAATCAATACATGACAGATTTTTAGTAATTAATTAATTGAATAAGTAATAATAACATAATAATATCGCATAATAATAGTATAATAATAATGATATAATAATACAGTAACAAAATAATAGTAGTGATATAATAATAATAAATAATAACAACATAATAATTATAAATACAAACAAACAAACAAACAAACAAATAACCCACACAAATTCGGCAACTTCCAATTCATGAATGCCATCTGCCTCCTCAACAGCTCATTAAATAGACTGCGGCATTGCTCTGCCTCGAATCCCTCTGCATTATACAACGCCACCGATTCTGCGTTATTTCGTATCGAAACGTGCTTATACCTCAACAATTCTCTTTTATTTATAATAATTAATAAAAACAATAATAAAAAAATAATTAAAATAATTACCTCAGTAATTATAACCTTATACCTGAACAATTTCATTTTAATAATAATTAATAATCATAATAATTACCTCACTAATTACTACCTTATACCTCAATAACTTTTAATAATAATAATAATAATAATTTCCTTGCTACTATTACTCGGGTATCGAGTGGTTGTTTTCTCAATCGCTTTGAGCAATCGGCGGAATATTTATTTTATTAGAGTTTTATCGGTAAAAATTTCAAATTTCCGTCAAAATCCCGAGAATTCATTTCAAATTCCATACACCCCTAAACACGGCAACGTCCCTTCCCCAGTCAAACCACCGACCCTCTCTCACCCATCCACAGCACTCACCTGAAATCCCCCTCGCTCCTCTCCACCCTCGCACTCCACTTCGCTATCGGACTCAGCAGCACCTTATTCACCACCGTTCCCAACAAAAAATATCCGTAGATTATTCCAACACCCAAATAACCCGAACTGAAATTCCACATATTA